CTGGGTGGCTCAGTCAGTTGAACGTCTGCCTTTGGCTCAGGTCATGATCCCAAGGTCCTGGAATCGAGTCCCATGTCAGGCTCCCTGCTCAGTGGAGAGTCGGCTTCTCCCTCTCCCTCTGCCCTGTTCATTCTCTCTCTCTCACTCTCTCTGAAATAAATTTTTTTAAAAAATTGTTTTTTTTTAAAGAATATAAAGCACTGTCTTATTCTGTTAAACAGCTACACATTCCTGGGGATATGACGTAATTTCTTTAACTAGTGCTCTATTGATGCACATTTAGGTTGTTTTCAGTCTTTCGTAATCTCAAACAATGCTGCAATAATTTTGCATATAAGACTTTTTTTAAGTTTATTTACTTATTCATTTTTAAGTAATCTCTCCACCCAAAGTGGGTGGGGCTCAAACTTACAACCCCAAGATCAAAAGTCTCATGCTCTTCCGACTCAGCCACGCAGGCACCAGCAGCATGTAAGACTTTACACAAATGTGTGAATGGAGCTGGAAAAAAAAATTCCTAGAGGCAGAATTGTTTGATCAAAGGGCATATACATTTATTATCTGATAGTACCAAACTGCCATCCTTACCCTACTGTGTCAACTTAACATTTCTCAGCCAACAATGTGATTGAGTTTCTGCTTTTCCACACCTTTGTCATCCCTAACATATTTTCAAACTCTTTGGTCTCTGCCAGTCCGCTAAATGAAAAAACGGTTGCACTCCTAGTTTTAACTGGTATTTTGTTTGCTATGTAGGGCGGGGTATCCTTTCGCATGTTTGAAATCCATTTTTTTTTCTTTTCTGTGAAATGTATTCTTTGCAAACAGGTTATTGGCCTACTCCTAATTGATTTTGAAAGCTCTTTATATATTAAGGAAGCTAGACTTTCATTTTGACATAGATTGCAAATTGTCTTTCCTAGTTTGTCTTTGCATATTAATTTTTATCCATTTTCTTTTTCCATGGAGAAATTTCCTATCCAACTACTTTAAATTGTTTATAATTCTTTATCAGCTGATTCTTTTAGATTTCTAAAACTATAAAATTTTATCATTTGCAAATAATAGCAATTTTGCTTCCTGATGTCTTTCTCTAATAACAATTTTGACAGTGTACATCCCTGTATTGTTCCTGATTTTAATGGGAATGCTTCCAAGGATTCACAATTAAAGATGATGCTGGCTTTGGCTTCTGACACTATTTCTCTAAGGAACTTTCTGAGTGCATAGAGAATTTAACAGTTTGTTCTTGAGTACATTTTTCATGTTCATCAATAGGTTTTATAGATTTTCTTCAGTGTCAAAGTATACCATTAGCTTTAGCATTTACATAATTATTTAGGAATAAGAAATAACAGGAACCTATGACTGTATTTACAGCATGCTACTCTATAAATAATTCGTAACTACTCATCAAAATATTTAATCCACATCTAGTCCTTGTGCGACGTGAAAAGGCAGGTATCTCGCATCACAGAAAGGCAAACTGAGTCTCTAAAAGATTATAATTCCACCCACCCCTTTCCCCATTGTGGCACTTCTGTGAGCTAGAAGTCAAATTCAGACCTTCTGACTCCCAACCCAGGATTTAAGCCACAAGAAAGCACCATGGCCTTTAGAGAATTTAGTGAATGCCCAACATACAAAGAAAAAAGCAGGCTGCCGTCTACAACCCGCAGCTTCACAACGTTCTCTTCCAGACTCCTGAAACCAACCTCCAAGTTGAACTAGGAGCTTAAAACATCTGAAATGCATCATCCAGCAGCCAGCATAATAGGTTCATGCTCAGTGATACACAACGTTGCCGACATTCCTCAGCCAATTAGAATTCCTTTCAGCTGCGATGGAGGTGAACACAGCTGGAATTAGGTGGGGCGCATTGCCAGACGCATTGATTGTACATTATTTACGCCTTGTTTTAAAACAATAAAAGGGTTTTTTCTTTTCCTTTAATCCAGAAGTATGGAAACAACATTCCACTTAGTTTAAAGATCCAAATGGATTAAACTGCATCTGTAGACACAACAGAAATTCTAACATTTTAAAAAGAAGATATGCCTGATCCACATGGCTAGGTGCTTTTGTTTTTCAACAGAGCTCTCCAGCTCATCTCTAAGTAGCATGCCTTAGGGACTGTGGTCAGTTAGGATGAGCATGCAGTGGACAATAAGCCAATTTAAATTAGGGGCTCTCTCTCAATAAAATTTACTTACAGAACAACAAGCAAACCAGTCATTTAAGTTGTCCAGAGACAAAAATAAGTAAATAGCCACATATTTTTAATTCTCTATTTGTTTAAAAATATTTAACCTCTAAAACAGTTTTGAAATTACAAAAATGTGATCCAAATAAGAATTCTAAAAGTTAGGGTTTCTCAACCAGAAAATCAGAGCATTGCCAAGATACTAAATTATTTCATCTATTTCGGAAGGTTCTTGAACTTCCCTTTTGCTCTTGGCACTCAATTAAAATGCACAATTCAGCTATTTTAACTTTTAACCAGTGCGCACAAACATGTTACAAAAGAACCAGTCTAGTTAAGTGGATCATTGAGCTGATGTTGAAATATTATGGGTCTTTCTTTTCTTATTCATGAGGAAAGACTTCTTCCCGAGTGACTCAGCCCCCAGAACCTCCCCTTACACCCAGCGTTCCACACTAGGACCCAACAACGTGACCAAACAGAGAAAATGAAAATTTGTAGATGAGAAGGAACAACTCAAAGTTCAGACACCACTTTCATGGTTGCAAAAACCAGAGTTTTGACCTCAAATGGTTAGACTTGTAGGCAAAAATTCTAGTTGGATTTCACTACAACTGCTATAAAGATACAGATAAAAATAAAGTGTATAGGGGTGCCTGGGTGGCTCTGTCGTTAAGCGTCTGCCTTCCGCTCAGGTCATGATCCCAGGGTCCTGGGATCGAGCCCCGTATCGGGCACCCTGCTTGGTGGGAAGCCTGCTTCTCCCTCTCCCACTCCCCCTGCTTGTGTTCCCTCTCTCGCTGTCTCTCGCTGTCAAATAAATAAAGTCTTTAAAAAAATAATAATAAAGTGTATAAAGTATTTCATTGCTCAGGTTAGGTGGGTCAAGAAGCTTTAAAAAAATGGATTTGAGGGAAAAAACGTTGTCCCTTAAGACAACCTTAATGTGATCAAATCACAAATAAAATCAGTAATACAACCTCTGTTTGGCAGAATGTGATTTCTTTTCGAGTAAAACTGAAGTTTTTATTTCAATAGTTACTTGATTTAGCTCATCCCACACCCTTAGTTAATTCAGCTTGAAGAAATGCCTTGACTGTACCTTCAGAAACTTGAGGCTGACCCTGAGGAAAATGTTACAGAAACTCAGGAGCAGCTCATGGCTAAACACCAATGACTTATTCCATCCTATCCCGGTTACAGTTGTTAAAACCAAAAGTTCTGCCTGCCTTACATAAGCGAGGTTCCCTGCTGGAATAACCTGACAAAGGCAACACTCTTAACAGCTTTCTTAACCTTTCAGAGAAACCAAACTAGTCCAAATCAATTAGGCCACCTGTTATTGATAAATTAGAGTTATTAACAGCTATTAATACAACTATTTCTGGGGCGCCTGGGTGGCTCAGTTGGTTAGGCAACTGCCTTCGGCTCAGGTCATGATCCTGGAGTCCCTGGATCGAGTCCCGCATCGGGCTCCCTGCTCGGCAGGGAGTCTGCTTCTCCCTCTGACCCTCCTCCCTCTCATGCTCTCTGTCTCTCATTCTCTCTCTCTCAAATAAGTAAATAAAATCTTTAAAAAAAAAAAATACAGCTATTTCTCTCCAAGTTGCATCATCTGGATGGCCAAACCCCCCAAGTCTGCCTTACTTCCCATGTGCTACAACTTTAAAAATAGCCTCCATTTCCACATGCTATCAAGGAAGGTCTCTTCCCCCCCTCTACTTGGAATTAGAATGTTTCTCTCTTCACAACACACAGTCACGCTCCAAAAGCTATAAAAACACAAGGTCTGAGAGTATTTCAAGGCATAAAAACGCAAAAAAGTTTATGGGCATTTGCCATTTCAACTAACTGGTTAACATGAGAATAAAATTTAATTTGCTTGAAGAGCACTGTGGAACCCTTAGAGCTCAAAATCCCATTCTTTTACCCAAAGTGGCCTAAATAATGTATCTGGGATTCATTTGCGTACCACATAAGAACAAAGTTTTTGCAAATCCTGCTTGAATTTAAAATAAAAACGTTTCCAAAGTGTTTGATTGCTAGTGAACTCTAAATGTCTGCAAGATAATGTTCTTTAAAACCTGATTTTGCACATTTTATGCCCCAAACCTACTGAAACTATTTAAAAACTATTTTCCTGTTAAAATACCACAAAGACATTCATTAAAGTTAAATTCTTTTAAATATAAAGACTCAAATATTCATTTTACTGCATAGGCCAGTCTTCCAAAGCAGTTCCATATACCACCCAATAGTTTCCAAAAACAGAAAGGGTTCCACAGGAAGAAAGAAATATATCCTAACCAATACACAAAATGAACGCTTTGCATAAATCAAACACAAGTGCTGTGTTTTAACACAAATTTCTGAAAATCAGCATTGAGACTCATTAACAGAAAGCGTAAGTACCCAACGAATTCTGGAATAAGTAGGTAGCCAAAATGAGAAAGAATCAAAGAATGTTACACTAAAGGTGAAATCTCATTTTATACGGGGAAACAGAGACCCAGCAAGGTTACATAATTTGTTCCATATCATGCAGTAGGGCAGGTCTCTTAATCACGTCTCTTAATTTTAAATCCAATGCTCTACTCACCACCAAATACAACTGTGGACCCCAAAGTTCTAAAGGCTCTTTTATACTCCAATGTCTTCAGATGTTGTCTTGAACTATGCCCTGTGTGATACTACTCGGTTTAAAAAAAAATTTTTTTTTCAAATATCACGCATAGTAATAAACTCTGAAACCTGTAACAAGAGTATACAACTTTTGAAAGATGGCTACCCAACATACCAGAAATGAAGAGATTTCAAACTCCTGACAACCTTAAAGATGAGGCCAAAACCTACTCTATCTACAACAAAATGTCTGGTTCCAGCGTCTCAACATCAATTAACATTCAACAGACAACACACGTGGGTCACATGGGTCTGCAATCACCGCTAAACTCAATCCTGCTGCAGGGATGACCACACTCACAGCTCATCCCAGACCCTCACTAACACCAACAGGGGTGAAGGGAAAAGGGGCTTTGGAAATAACACTCATCACCTGATCCTTCAATAGCAAATGCCATCCAAAACTCTTCAAAGCATTTCTGTATCTTTGGCATCTAAATTTCTAAATCCAAAAATAATTTGGGAGGACAGACCAAGTCCTCCCTTTGACAAGGGAAAAGCCCACACCTGCCAACTACGTTTGATTAATATATATACACACCTGACACAAACATTGTAATTAGAACCTATTCCTTCTGAAACATTAATCACATTTCTACCAACACTCATGAATCAGTTACTTCTGCTTTTAACAAGAAAAATGAAACCAATCTGATGTCAATTACAGATTACATTGTAAATGAGAATCAAATTAAAGTTGTCAGTAATTAAAGTTTTACAAGCATTACAAAGTCAAAAACATGGCTTTCATGTAACCATAAAAATAACAATGTTATATACTGTATCTACACAGTGAGAAGCGTTTCCTACTAGCCCTGGAATAAAGGATTATGTTCCGCCAGAAGCAAAGATCCCTGGGATACATAGCGGTTACTTCACAAAACCAGGGTCTGGATTTGGGTCCAAATCATTCTCTGATCATATTATCTTATCGTTACCTAATCTGACATCTTTATACCAAAAAGAAAAAAAAAGAAAGAAAAAAAATATATATGCCCCTTTTCTTGAAAAAAATAATAAATCGTGCAACAACTACGTACTTTCAAAGGAAACTTTAGTTTGAAAGCAATCACCTATTGTTATTTTCCTGGATTTTACCGACGACTTAGGGCTATGCCTCTGCCATCAGGTGTCCACAATGCTCATTCGCTCTTTGAAAGGATCTGACTTTGGGTCCTCACCAGACTGGCCACTGAACAGAAAAATCCAAGGGAAAGCCCCCTGACAGGAATCAGCCTGAACTTTTTATTTCCCCTCCAGAGCTGGAAATACTCGAGGTCGGAAAGTCCCCCGGCAGGACCGAATCTGCAGCCCTCCAATCGGGCCTCAGGGAAGATTCAAGCTGGAGGCGAGCCCGCGAAGGGGCCGATCTCCGGGGCCCGCTAGCGAGGGGCGCCTCCAGCAGACAGCTGGCACCCACACTCGGCCAAACCACCGCGTCGCCGGCCCGCAGCAGAGCTGCGCGCTCCCCCTCGAAGGTGGCACTACACAGCGCCCTAGGGGACGCGGGCACTTCACTGAAGACTCCGTGCGGGTGAATCAAGGAGCCTGCGTCGGTGCAGCTGCCAAAGCCTCCAGCGGGGGGCGGGGCCCCTCAGCCCTGCTCAGGGCTCAAGGATGTTGCGGGGGGGCGGGGCTGGAAAAGTGCAATGCAGAAAAGAACTGAAGAAGCACAGTCAGGAGGAGATCGTGGCCCGGCCGGAGGCAGAAAGGAAGTGGACTAGACTGAAGAGGTCTGGACCAGCGGGGAAGTGAGAACAGGACCGGGAGAAGCGACACGACAGGACTGAGGAATTCGAGGCTGAAGGAAAGGGTGGAGGCAGCGAGACCGAAGCAAGGGGGCGGGGCTGCGAGATAAGCGAGGGCGGGACTAGGTGGAAAATGAGGGGCGGGGCTTAGGGGGAAAGGGAGGGAGGCCGGCCAAGGGAGAATAAAGGGGCGGGGCCGGGAGGGGAGAAGCCAGGGGGCAAGTTGGGGGTGGGTAGAGAGAGGAAGGGAGAGAGTATGGGGGAGGGGGTAAGAAGCGGAGGGCAGGAGGGAGAAGCGCGGGGGCACGTCGGAGGAGAGACCCGAAGGCGAGAGAGGGTGGGAAGGTGGTGAGAAGCGAGGGGCGGGACCGAGACCAAGGGGCGGGGCCAGGAGGGAGAGCGAGGAGGCAGGTGAGGGGCGAGGGAAGAAAGCGAGGGGGAGGAAGGGGGCTGAGCAGCGGGGGGCGGGGCCACGAGGGGAGAAACCAGGGGACGAGGCGGGGAGAGGGAGGGGAGCGACCAGGACGGAGGGGCTGAAAACGGGAGGGGGCCGGGAGGGGGGACGCGACGGGTCAGGTGGGGGAAGAAGGAGGGAAGCCAGAGGGCCGTGGGGTGGGGGGGGGGGTGAGAAGCGAGGGGGCGGGGCCGGGAGCAGCGAGGGGGCGGGGTCGGGAGCGAGGAGCGAGGGGCACTCGCCGAGGGGGGTGACGAGGTCCTGGGACAACGGCCGGCGTGGGGGAGGGCCACTCCATCGGGGCGCTCCGCGGGAAATTCCGGGGCTGCTGGGGGGCCGTGCGGGGCGCCAGCGGGCGCAGGGCCGTGGGGGGTTGGGGGGGAAGGCGGGTGGGCCTCCCGCCGGCCGTACCTGTCAGACGGATCTTGATGCTGGAGCCGTTCCTGCGCGTCCCGGGGTTCGACATCTCCCGCCAACGATCAGGCAGCCGCGGATCCAGCGCCGCCGCCCCCCGGCCCGGCCCGGCCCGGCCCCGCCGCCGCCGCCTCAAGGTTACGGCTCCGGGCTGGGCGCCGGGGTCCGAGCCGGGACACAAACTCCGCGGCCCAGGCGTCCGGGCGGCGGGAGGATGGTCGAGCCGGGGGATCGGCGCTCGACCCGGCGTCCCCGACCCTCGCCCGCTCCCAGCCGAGCCCAGTCCGGAGCCGCCGCCGCCGCCGCCTCCGCCGCCACCGCCACCACCTCCTCAGAGCCGGACGCCCGCCGCCCTCACCGCTTCCGCCGCCGCCACCGCCGCCTCCCGGAGCCGCGCGCGCGCCCGCCGCCGTGCCGGCCCGGCCCTGCGCGCGCTCGCGCCGTGCGCCCCCGCGCCGTGCGTGCGTGCGCGCGCCCGCGGACACGGCGGGGCGGGGCGCGCCGCGGGGCTACGTTGCCGGCCCGGCTTGGGGCGCGCGGGGATTGGAACCTGTGGCCGGGGCTTTCCGCGTCCTCCCGCCGGGTGCGGGGCGCAGGAGATCCCAGCTTGGAAACGGAGCACGCCCTGGAGGCCCGCGGAAGGGGAAGCGAGGGTGCGGGGCCCCGTTTGGGCCCGCGAACCGTCGCCTTGGGTCTTCTCCACTTTCCCCAAGGAAACGGGTCTGCAGATGCGGACGGAACTGATTTTCCAGGTCTCCCTCAAGCCCCCGGGCCCCCGACAGCTATTGAAGAGAGGTTTAGGCCTGCTACTACACACCAAGCACCTTGCACAAATAGTCATGCAACACTTTTTTTTTTCCTTAGAGAATGCAATTTCAGTGGAGACACCTCAAAGACACAAAGTCCCCTAGGTGTGTTCTGTGCAACTAGTGCGCTCTATTGACCCGTGACAGAGTTGCCAGAATGGCTGGAAGTGCCATATACGGACAAGGTAAACAAGCTGGTAGAGAGGGATAAAGTTGAGAGGTAGATGTCTGTTATTACCCAATCTGCACACAATTCAAACCAACAAAAAGGCAGCTTTACGGCCTCGTTTCCCCGCTTTCTGCTAACACTCACCCTCCCAGATTTGCAGAGTTTAACTAAAAGCTAACATTTCCCCTCCTCCCAGAGTTGCAGGGTAGAACTAAAAGCTCCTTAGGCTTTCTCCAGCAAACCAACTCCTCTCTTTGTTAACCTGTAATGGAGAGGAAATACTATGTTAATAAAGAGGAAAAGCTGGGCTTGTTTACCAAAGCTGTTTTTAACCAACTACCTAATTCTTCGAAACTTTGATTTGTATCTTAAGGAAACCAGGCTCTGAGCCTTTGCAGCCATCCCCTGCAGTCAGGGACCTTTCCTGGGGTCACAGTCTTCAGAATAGAGCCCTCTCCCTAGGGCTGCTAGACCTGCCTCCCTGCCTCAGGCTGAACCCAATGAGAGCGGAGTGTCTCCTGGGCTGGATTCAAAGCTGCCTCTTGGAGGCTCAGTCAAATAAAGAGACATGCCCTTGGGTGGCTGACTCTTGATTTCAGCTTAGGTCCTGATCTCAAGCCCCGCGCTGGGGCTCTGCACTGGGCATGGAGCCTGCTTGAGATTCTCTCTCTCCCTCTGCTCCTCCCTGTTCTCACTCTCTCTCTCTCAAATAAATAAATATATCTTTAAAAAAAAAAAAAAAAGACAGGCCCAGATCATTTCTATAGCCCCTTGCAGCTCAGACTTTCAGTAATTCTAGTGAAATATCCAAGAATACAAGCTATGTTTAAGCAACAGAGCAGTAGACCCAGAATCTAGATGTTACTCTGTAGGCGACTGTCACTAAGAGTCCCTGGGGTCTGCATAAATCCATTTAGAGTCTCTAACCCCTGCCCCCAAGTGATCCCCATTCTTCTTTCAGTCCACCCAGTATCTCTCCCTTCTCTTCCTTCTCATATTCAAGAAGTCTCTTCTCTCTCAACCAGACTAAACTTCTCCCTCTCTGCTTAGCCGAGTGCTGGCCCCCATTTCCGATCCCTAGCTGTTCCTGACCTAAAATCCTTCCATTTCTTAACCTCATTGTTTTCTTACCTGCCTAGATGTCTGGGCCTTCCTTTTCCTGATTGTTTCCTCAACAGGTGAGTCTGGAGGTCACTGAAAGGCATTTCATTTACTCATTAACAAGTAATTGCCGCTGTCATTTAACCAGATACACCTAACGATGTCTTTCAACACAGCCTGCACAAGGAGGGCCTTCCTAAATGGAAGCTAGTGTTTTAATCATTGGCAAACTCCAGCCACCTACTATGTGGCTAGGGACAAGGAATACAAAATAAGTCACAGGTATGGCATTTCAGAGGCTCAGTGGCCCGGATGAAACAGACACAGGAACCACTGACAAGGACACACTGACAGAGGTGTGTACTGAGGGACAGAACATGGACGACAGGACCGTTCTGCCTGGGAGGAGAAAGATGGGAAGATCACAGGGGGAGAGTCACAGAAGACCTCGATCCAGGACTTAAATGCAGCATTCAAGTTCACTGGACAAGGGCATCGCAGGCAGAGGGAAGGGCTTGTGCAGAGGCAGGAAAATGAATGTATTTTCCAGCACAGATTTCAGTTCAAGTGCAGTAATGTTGTAGCTGCTGGATCTTCTATCTGCACACCTGACTCTATCAAAAAGTTGATGAAGATGAGGAGTGCCTGGGTGGCTTAGTTGGTTAAGCATCTGACTCTTGATTTAGGCCCACACCCTGATCTCATGGTTGTGAGATCAAGCCCTGCATCAGGCTCTGTGCTCCACAGGGAGTCTGCTTGAAGTTCTCTCCCTCCCTCCCTCCCTCTACCCCTCCCCCGCCCTGCCCTGTGCAGGCATGCACACGTGCGCTCTCGCGAGCTCTCTCTCAAATAAATCTTTTTAAAAAGTTGATAAAGATGATAAAAGGTATTGGCCCACATGAAATTCATCAGCCACAATTTTGTGCGAAACCTGCGGACCAGCTCTTATCCTGAACTTAAGGTACTTTGATATCCTTTCATTATATATCAAATTTGTCAAAAATGCTATCTTTTAAAGATACCTGAACAAGTAGATGGGAAGTGTTTAACAATTCTGCTGAGACAGAGATGAAATTTGGTGAGTGTCTTCAAGTATCCTCTTTGCAATGACTTTACAAAAGAGCAGTTTTGACCCTGCTTTCTATGTAGGATTTGGCAGCTTATTTTATTTCTCCCAAATGTATCACTTGCCCTTGTCGGTGTTATTGGGCATTTGAAACACTTTCCAGTGGGGGTAAAAAAAAACAAATCTCTCTTTGGATCTAACTGCAGTGGTTCTT